CTGGGACCCAGGGCTCTCCCTGAGACAGGGGACCAAGCCCAGCTCTGCCCAGGGGCAGGTCTCCTTCCCTCCCCTCCCCTCCCCTCCCGAGGCTGGCCTCATTGGCACTCCCAACCCCAGCCTCCCACAGGTGCACAGTGTGGAGCCAAGGGCGTTGGTGAGGACAAAGGCCAGAGGACCCCAGGGGCTCTGTCTGCCCGACAGGCCAGAAATGTGGCAACCTGGAAGGGTCTCTGTGGGCTGCTCAGTGATCAGGGCCTGAGGTCAAGGGTGTGGGCAACTATGGCTGGCACCCCAGGCGGCTCCCAGAGCTAGAGAAGGCCGTGTCATCCAGACCCTTGTTTTTAGGTCACACTCCCAGGCCAAGTTAATCTGAGCCATGCCTCCAACCCAGCCCAGCCCAGTCTTAACTGTCTGGACTCTATGAGGCTCAGAAAGGTACAGCAACTTTCCCGAGGTCACACAGCAGCCAATAGCAGAGCCAGAATCAACCTCTGTCCCACCCAGGCAAGGTCCCTGTGACATGATTCCACTGTCTCCCCAGTCTTCCAGTGAGCCTTTCTCTCCCTCAAAGGCCCAAAGCTCCTGTGGTCCCCCTTTTCCTGGCCTGGCCACCCCCCAGCTTACATGCTGCAGGCTCCTAAGGTTTCCCCAACATACTGTACTAAAACTGTTCCCATGGATGGTGCCTGTGTCCCCTGCCCCCGGGAGCTCCTCAGGGCAGACCAGCTAGCTATGTTTCTCTGTCCTCCACGATCCCAGGGCTGATGTCAGAGAGCACTGGGTGAACAGAGTTATTGAATAGACCCTCTAACCATGGCTGAGACCTCCTGAGCTGTCCCGCAGAAGGACCGTGAAGGCTTTTGGCCCTCTGCCCAGCTAGGGGCGCCCGGATCCACACTCCACCCACGCCAGCAGAGAGCCTCATCACCCAGCCCCTGACATAGCAGGGAGGCCAGCAGTCCTGGGCTCAGCATGGCTGCCTCCCCCAGCCTTTCTGGGGGCCTCGTCCTCACCCCAGCCTGCATCCCGGGTATCCCAGGTGTCCAGAGCTGGGCTCAGACCCTACCCTGGGTGGCCTCAAGCCCTGGCAGAGACTCTGTGCTGCTTGGTGGGCCCCAAAAGCCAGAGGCCACCATGTCTGGGTCCCAAAGCCTCCTCCTCCTCCTGGGCTCACCCCACGACCCATTTCCACACAGCACCGAGCCATCTTTCTAACACACTGATCTCTCCCTATCACACCCTGCTGTAAACTCACCCTGGTCCCGCTGCCCTGAGAACACAGGCCAGCTCCTCACTCAGCCCCCTGCAAGCCTCCCTCTCCCCTCTCCTCCTCCTCTCTCCCCACTGTCCCTCACTCCCTCGTCCCTCTCTTCTCCTGGCCTTTGTTCCTGAGGTAGCCTCCTCCCCACCACCCTGTCCACCCAACACCACTCATTACTGGAGACCCAGCTCAGACACCGCCAAAACGCGCCCGGCGAACACCGAAGGAGAGCGAGCCCGTGGCGCGCCAGGCACCGTGCTGGGTGCTGGGTGCTGGGGTCCAGCGTCACACAAGACACGCTCGGTCCGTGTGCCGCTCACCTGACGGTTCCCTGGAGGAGGCAGATGGTAGCTTCGGAATGCCACAACTAGAGAGTGACAACAAACGGAGAGGCCAAGGGGGAATCGGGGCACACTGCCCTGAGCGGGTGACACTTAAGCCACGGTCGGAAGGATGCAGTGAAGGATTGTGCCAGGTGGAGAGGGAAGGGAAAGGCGTTTCACAAGGAAGAGCACGTGGGAAGGCCCTGAGGCCTAGAAGAACGCAGGGGGAGCAGTAAGGTGGCACCTGGTGGGCTGGGGGAGGACTTTGCTCTACTCCTCCAGGGCAGTGGGAAATAGCGAAGGGTCGTAACAGGGGCCACACGGGCAGACCAGGGGCAGCAAGTGGAGGCAAGAAGATTTGTGAGGCTGCCTTCTGCCGCCTCGGGGTCCACGCCCACAGGGTCCCCTTCGGACTCGCATCATGTGGCCTCCATCAACCAAATGGCTCAGTCACCGGGAGCTGAGCCATGGGCCAGGGTCTCACTTAACACGGCCTCCCCAGTCCCAGCGTAGACCCGGGGCTCACACCGGACGACTCTCTGAGCCAGCCGGGCACTGAACCAACCCCCAGGTCATCAACGACTTCCAGAACGTTCGCATCAGCAGGACGCCAGGTCCTCATCGGTCCGCCCTCCGTGCCCCGACATTCCCCCAGACCCGCCATCTAAGCTCGCTCACCACCACCACGGCCTCCTATCCAGAGGAAGGTGTGGCAGGCAGGGCTCCATCAGGGAACAGCTCGGCCCCGTCACACAAAGGATATGGGTTACACACCATCTTGATGCACCAGTTCCGGGGGCTGGTGGTCTGTCGTAGGCAGAAGAAGGCAACAGGTGCCAGGTCCGGGTGAGGGACTTCAGGATCAGCTCCATCCAGGGGCTCCTCCAGGCCTGGAGGGGAGGGAGGGGGGCTCTGGGGCCCCGGCTGCTCCGTGACTCCCAGCTCAGCTGCTGGGGCTGCGGCAGCGGCAGACGAGGAGGGCGGCGAGGAGCTCTCGGCCATGTTGGCGCCGAACCAGAAGCCCTGGGGGAGGAAGAGACGTGGCACGTGGCAGGGGGTGCCTGGCACCCACTCCCCACCCCGCCTTCCCTCACGGGGGACGCAGCCCAGACAGAGCAGCCTCAGGTCCGTAGGCCCCTTGTCCTCACTCTGCCATGAGGATCAGGAAAAAGCTGAGGGCCCGGATGCACCCAAGTCAGAATCCACTCCCAGTGAGTGGTCCTGAGACAAGTCTGGTGAACTTTGCTCAGCCCCAGTTTGGGGCAATGGAAAGTAAGAAGAATAAAACCTTCCTAGAATGTAATTGCAATACTGTTGGGGTTTTTGTGGGCTTTTTATGAGACTAGAGCTATAGATTTATGGCATCGTCGAAAACAAAGAAAATCTGCAAGGAAGAAAGGGATGTTGGTGAAAAGTCAGACATTAGTGCCAGAATGACACGTGTTGACTAAGGACAGGTTGGAGTGTTACAGGGCCAGACACCCAGGGAGTTGGGCAAGCCGGGAGGGAATCAGGGCAGGCTTCCCTGCGGCAACGACACCTCCCCCTGAGACGTACAACCGAGCCCAGGGATCCCACCCACCACCTCCCAAAGGTGAGAACTCAGACACCTGCCACACCAACCTCTTGGCTTTACAGCTGGAGAAACTGAGGCCCAGAGAAGGGACAGGACAGGCACACAGCCTGGTAACAGCAGAGGGAAGCAGGGCTGGCTTCCCGGGAGTGTGACCAGTGTGGCCACCCAAGGCTCCACGCTCAGAAGGGCTCTTGGTTTAATGCTCTGCTGTCACCGAGTTGAAATTCTTAATAATGGTTGGCCAGGAGCCCCCGCCTTTTCGTTCTGCAGTGAGTTCCGCAAATTACATAGCTGCTCCCGACTTCGGCTCAGGGGCACTCCCACGTCGTGGTCTCGTCTGACGTCGACAACAACCCAGGGGCACTACCGTGCAGACGGAGGAACTGAGACCCAGAGAAGGAAGGGCACACAAGGCTACACGCTGACCCAAGTATAGAAGCAGGGCACGCTTAGACGCCAGAGTCCCAGCACCCGTGCTCCAGATTTAGTGATGACTGACCGTGGCCTTGCTTGGCCAATGGCGAAGGAGGAAGAACAGGCTTGCCCCCTCACCACCTGCTCTGAGAGGCCACCAGTCCCTGAATCCTCGTGCACTGGGGTCTCCCAGGCCCCAGGACCCTGACGGTGCCGGGTTGGGCAATGGGAGCTGGAGCCTAACTAAGCTCGTGGTGCTCACTGGACTACTGACCACGGCCGCTGAGCTGCTCACGGCTGATGCGTCTGGACATTTCTCTGGCTCCCAGGGGCAACAGGCGGGAGTTGGCACCTCCCGGCCCTTTGCCCGGCTGGTCAGGGAGGCAGAGTCTTCTCCCAAGCTCCAGGCTCTGCTCTTAGTTCCAGAAAAACAGCCATGGGCCTTACATAAGCTTTCAGGCAACCTGGCCTGCCACGTGTCAACCACTGGGCTGAAAAACATCCCCCCAAGGGGTGGCTCCAGGTCTGCCCACCACAGCGCCCACCACCCCCTGCTGGCCCCTTGCTTCTGCCACATCGGACCTCCCTCCTCAGGTCCTAGAGCACTGGCTGCCTCCTCCAGACCTCTGCTCACACGGTTCCCTGTCCCTGGAACACCCTCTCCTCCAACTCCCATCCCCTGTCCCCCAGGTCCTGACGATGCATGGATCTGTCCAATAAATGTTTCCCGAGCACCTACTACGTGCAGGCACCTCACAGGCTCTGCAGCCCTGCCAGTGAGTAAGCCAGATCTGGCACCAGCCTCCATTCCGCAGACACTCCAGCAAAGGAGACACACGAGTCAATTAATTTCTCTCCCTCTGGGCTCCAGAGCCCTTATCGCCACCAAACATACCATATCATTTATGAATTTATATCTTTATGATTTAGTGCCTGTCTGCCCAACCTGAAAGAAGGCTGTAAGAGCACCCGGCACCATGGTCTGTCTCGTTCACTGCTGTATCCTCCCCCCCACCTGCCCCGCCCAGTGCCTAGAACAGTGCCTGGAACATACTAGGTGCTCAGTAAATACTCGTTGAATAAATGAATAGAATGTGCGGGGAAGTAAACACACGGGGGGCGGGGGGAGAAGGTGGGAGTGGGGAAAGTGCTTTGCCTAAGGGAAGAGACATCGAAGATTAAAAACAGGAACCGGAAGGCACCGGCGTGCGGGCGTGTGATCTGTGGGATGAGCAGTCCAGGTAGAAGGAACAGCATGTGCAGAGGCTGGGAGGCTGGAATGAGCTCAGTGTGTTTAGGGAAGAGAAATGAGGCCAGTGTGGCCCAGCCGAGGGCGGGGGG